TGAATTAATTATTGGAACCGCCCACCCACTGGCAAGGGCCCTCGCCAGCCACAGCCCGTCGTCGCCTGCCGCCAGCTCCGGCCCCCACCCGCTGTGGCCCGCCCACATGTAATGTTTAGTGCTGGGTAGAGCAATGAAGAAGTCGTATACACCATGAGCGGCAAAGCTTAACACTGGAGCGCACGTGGACCCAACCGTTTTATAAAGAGTATTGATTTTTCTTTAAAAAAATAAAAGGTGTCCAATCAAACATGTTTTATATTTTTTTTGTTTCTATAAACATATAAGTCATAATAGTAACAAACGCATTAGAAAAAAAATAGAAAACAAAAACAAAGCAAATTAAAAAAAATAATAAAATAAAAAACAGAAAGTAATCCCAAACAGACCCTCAGCTTTATCGAGTTTCCCTATCATTCAACCAATGAAGCTACAATATGGATCCATGATTACTAGGCTTCCTAGCTTCTTAAAATAAAAAATTTCACAACATTTTTATTAATGATTTAGGTGAAAAAGAAAAAGAATAAAATATTGGAATTTGAATAAATAACACGTGGCAAGAGAAGTGAACATCGAAGGAACAGACGCATGAGGGTTTTTATCATGTTATCAAAGAAAAAGAACATGAAAAATAGCAACATTGGTAATGATACAAAGTTCTTCTAGTCTCATTAGGGTTTGAAAATATTGACAAGACCCTAACTTTTTAAGCTTGGAAAAGTTTGCAGCATACACCAGATAATTGATTGAATTGTGTATCAGATAACTTAATCCGAAATGAAGCGACTTATCAAGCCACCCTATCATTCAGCCAATGAAGCTACAATATGGACCAGTGGTCACAAGACTAACTGACTCCTTAAGCTCCGGTTTTTAACAACCGTTTCGTCAATGATTTAGTTAAATAACAACTAGCCAACAGAACATATCGAAACAGCAATAAATAGCACATAAGAAGAAAGGTGAAGAAAGAAGGAACAAAATCATGAAGAATTTTTTTCTTTTCCCGGCTTATCTAGAAGTAGAAAACAGACAGCTGCGCTAGTAGTGATACAAAACTCTTTTTGTATTCACTGGGTTTAGATTACAAATAAATTAGATTTTAATGGTAAAGAATCCATCTTGTATTCTTTTCTATAATAAAGTTTTTTAGTTCAAAGCCAAAAGTAAGATCTAAATAAAAGATTAAACCTGGGTGTAATACAGAAAAGAGCATCCTAATGATGAAATGGTGGAGATGTGTATATCCAATGACAAAATAAAAAGATTCAGAAGAAAAAAAATAAAAGCACAAATAACCACCATAACAAAGAAACGAAGCTTACATTGTTCTCATTGAACAATAAAAAGATAAAAAAAGGAAAAACTTTTTAAAAAGAACAAAATCATATGAACTATTAGAAGATGTTATGACTCCCATATTACTAGATAAAGCACTTGTACAGAAATAAAATGTCAATTGGGTGGCAGTGAACAGCAAAACGTACAATTCAGAGCAGATTAAACAAGAGAAAAGGTGCTCAAGGAGAGAGCGAAGTGTTCCAGGTAGGCTAAGGAATTTCAAGATATAAACTAGCGATTCAATGAGTTGTGTAGAATTTGTTGTTAGTCATTACAACCTAACAATTGCGTTAGGAATTTGTTAGCACTAATGTAGTTAGTTACATTGTGATTATCTGTCTTTGCTCGGAAACAGCAGGGATGGCATCCCTGATGTTGTAACTATAAATAATGTTTACCTGGTAATGATAAAGAATGAGAAGTATCCCACAAATTTTATTCTTTCTTTCCTGTTTTTGCTAAAGTTTAGCTCCGCCCTCTAATTCTTGGAGATCTTAACAACTGGAGTACATGAAGAACTTGGACATCGCAAAATGAATTTTATTTGTTGAAATCCAGTGCTCAATTTGCCAATAGGAGGAGCAGTTTTTGGCAATCAACAAAACAGTATAGCAGTTTTGATCATTTATGATCTCAATGGATAAATGAATGAATGATCTAATGCATTATAATTCAGTGTCATCGCTGATAATATAAAAGGATAGTAATGGCAAGCATTCGGTAAGCTTATTTTTAAAAATAATGCAATATGGTGACTATCAGCGAAATTGTTTCCATCGATGCAAACAAAAAAAAATTCGCTTCCCCATTTTAACAGTACGGTTGAAACACATTTGCGTGGTCAGAGCTATGTATGAATTCTAAGATTTCTATAATGCACCAAAAGCAGTGAAGTCAAATGGCTTCATCCTATTTGGAAGGTCTGGCTGCAACTTGATATCACTAGTTGAAATTAAAACGCCAACAATCAATGTGATGCTTTTTTTTAAGTTATAATAATATCAGTTTGGAATTTTTCAATATGAAGATCATCATGGGAATCTGTTGAAATATCTAATTTAAATTACATAATTTATTGTCTTTCATGTTAAGACTTATAATAGGATATAATTTATTCCTAGAAAAAGTTATGAGGAATAAATTCTTTCTTTAATATAAGGAGATATTTTCTTTTCATATATTAGAAATTATTTGTTTTCCTATTTTATATTATTTTTTATTATCTCCTAATAATTAATATGAATTAATTATTGGAGATATCAGGTGATATATTTTCATTTTTTATTATGTTTTCTATTATGAGATTCGTGTAAGGGGTATTTATAACCCCGTTCATATCAATGAAATTAAGTGATTCCAAAGTATTCTATCTTATTCCGCATTATACTAAATTTCAACATGGTATCAGAGTCTAATTTCGTACTCTAGCTATCGACCCTCTTTTGAGAATTGTCGGACTCCCTTCCTGTCATCCTTTGTGCAGGAAGGGAGAGGAATAACAATTTTTTCTCCAGACCCCTTGCAACACTGCTCTACGTCGGTTTCACCGAGACTTGCTGCGAGCGCATCAACTTCACCCATAACGGCATCTTCGCCCGTTCAGCTGATTTCGACGATGACCTCGATCCTAATCTCCTTCCCAAGCGATTCGGAAACTCTGTTGCGCTCGCGGAATCCATTCCCATTTCGGAGTTCAGGGGCGGCCGCTTGCCCATCATCCGGCCGTCAAGTACGAAAGACCTCTAGGCACACTTGTTGTTCTAGCTCCGTCATTTCTTGTTGCAACAGTAACTCCAATGGAAGCTTCAACTTGGACGGCAACATCACGCTCGATTGCATCTTCAATTGCATCGGCTTTTGTTTATCAGTCATCGGCATCCCTAATCCACCTATAGCACCTGTTTCGTTACCACACGACGACAACTCCAGCGATACTACCATTCTGATTAACCTTCATGACCGCGATCGACTCACGCCATCCCTAATAATTACAGTTGTCTCCGCTGTCGTCGGCTCCTTTGCATTGCTTCTCACTCTCTACGCCTACCTACGCTTTAGCCGCCGCACTCGCCGACAACTATGTAATACTGGATCGGAAGCAGCAGCTGATGCTCTCAACGACAATGACCGGTGGTGTTCTACCTCTCGGCGGCAAGATCGAACACCACATCTGGTATATCCGAACGCAGGGTCTTGATGATAGCACGATCGCGTCGATCACCTCCTGGATTTATAAATCTAGCGACAGCCTCATCGATAGTAAGGATTGTTCTGTTTTCTTTGGCGAGTTCTATGATGGCGAACTGGTACGCCTGCTCCCCAAGTGTAGCCACGCCTTTCACCTACCCTGCATCGATAAGTGGCTCAAATCTCATGGTAACTGCCCTCTCTGTCGCGCTCCAATAGTTTCTCCGGCAACTGCCACTGTACTCGCACCTTCTCCTGCTTCTCTTGCGAACCGCCGTCATCTCAAATCTAGCAGACCCAGTAATTGGCTCCCCTGCTCAACTCAAAACCTCACAAATCGAGGCCTTGCCATAGGAAAACGTTAGCGAGGATTTTTGAGGTCGGAATTGTGATCTACCAAAGTGGAGTATCATCTTCTCGGCCTGCAACTTCACAACTGCCGCCTAATTCGTTAGAAGAAGAAGATAACTTGCAGTCAATCCGGCGATCGGTTTCAATGGATAACTTCTCTCTGGATGTGATTATCAACCACGGTAGGGCAGGAGAGTACTCAATAGCTTCTAATCGAGAGAAACCAATGGGCTTTTTGAAAGTGAGCCTTAGTCGAAAATTACATACATAAATGGATGGATCACTTTCCGTCCAAAGTTCGAGGTGGTTCTTTCCCAGCAGATCAGGTTCATGTCGATCATCCCTCCTTCGGCTATTCCTTTTTCCTTCGAAGTTGGATTCGACATCATCATCAAGATCATTTCAAGCAAATTCAATGAACTCACGAGGGCGGTACCAGCAATGCCGCCACCCGCCTCATCATCATCTCATCGGAGATATTGCTGTCGTACGTAGATCGGACAAGCCGTCCATTTCTCCTGCAGTATCTTTTCTTCCTTGCCCACGCGTCAGGGGGAGCTGCGTTTCCAACCGGACCTTCTCCAAGCAGCCATCAGAACCGGAGACCTCTCTACATTTTTCTTTACATTTGACAATTTCTATAGCTTCTGTTGCACCTCGCTTTTTCACTATGCAGGCGCCGCCAGTCTTCGGAGTCAATTTCTGCAGCTTTTGTTGTGCCTCAATTTTTTTTTCCTGCGTAGGTGTCTGGTTCACTACACAATTGCGATTTTAGCGGTTTTCCCTGCACATGCATTTTGGGCAACTACAGGCTTGCATTTTCAGCAAACAGCGGACATTATTTTCTCTTTAGAGTATAAATTTTGGTTCGCCAATGTGATTTATTTTCTCTCTCTAGTGCAAATCACGGAAGATCTCCAGTTGAAATCGTAGTTTTCGCTCTCTGGTGGAAATTGTTGTCCCCCGCAGAACTGCACAGAGCACTGGCATCCTTGCGGGCTCTCCCATGGTCGTTTTTCCTGTAGTTTTTTCAATCGCAGATCCTTCCTGCGATATCTTTCAACCGTCAGACCTCCCGATTTCCTTTCAGGACCGTCGAAGCACCTACCCACAGCGGGACCTATCCCTTGATGGCTTTCCTGCCACTGAAACTCCCTCCTGTAGTCCTTCCTGTAAGTGAAATTCCCTCCTGTGACATTTCCTACCGCCAGAACTTCATGCGGACATATTTGTTGTCGACTGGACCTTCGGGCTTACTCCTGTAGCCGATTCTCTCCCCTACAGCCTTTCCCGCCGTCGGACCTCCCTCATGCAGCTTTTCTCGTCGTCGGATCAACCTCAACAAATTTTTCCCTGCAAATTTTGGCCAACTCTTCCCAAGGAAAGCACTACTCTTTCCTGCAGCATTATTGCAGTCTTTTCCGAGCACTACAGCTTTCCTGAGCACTGTCGTTGGCCCTCTGTAGCTTTCCTGCAACCTCCCTACAGCCTCCTGGCAGTTTTCTTGCAACCTCCCTGTAGCCTTCTTGCAGCTTTCATGCAATTATCAGTCAATCGGTGACTTACAAATTCATCAATGTCTCGAAATTGAGCTTCGGCACTCTCAGACTTTGGCATTCTCGACTTCGGCGCTCTTAGGCTTTAGCACTCTCAGACTTCAGCATTTACGATTTGAGGATTGTTGGAGTTTTTTTGGCAAATTGATGCTACCTGCCAAGTCAACATACCGCAGCCGATGTTTTCAAATTCAAGTTGAATATGGTTTTCAACCATGTTCAACTTGAGGGGGGGTGTTGAAATATCTAAGTTAAATTAAAGAATTTATTGTCTTTCCTGTTAAGACTTATAATAGGAAATAATTTATTCCTAGAAAAATTTATGAGGAATAAATTCTTTCCTTAATATAAGGATTTTCTTTTCATATATTAAGAATTATTTGTTTTCCTATTTTATATTATTTCCTATTATCTCCTAATAATTAAAATAATTAATATATAATAATTAATATAAATTAATTATTGGAGATATCAGGTGATATATCTTTCTTTTTTTATTATGTTTCCTATTATAGGATTCTTGTAAGGGTTATTTATAACCCCGTTCATATCAATCAAATTAAGTGATTCCAAAATATTCTACCTTATTCCGCATTATTCTAAATTTCAACAAAATCTATCAAAACTATCTCAGCGGGTTCAATTTGAGAAATTCCTTAAACCTCCTCCATTTTTATTGTGCTTGCAGCTAGCCAAAACTATGGGGGACAAGTTTTGTTGGCTAGTAGGGGATAGAAGGATATAAGAGAATAGAAGATTAGAGCAGAAAAGGAACGAAAAGTTTATATAAGAGGGAGTTGGTTCAAGATAAAATTTCAATAATTCATACAATTAAATCAAATTGATTATTACAAGACTTCATTTGAAAAGGTGAGCTTAAGGGGGACCAGAGAAAGAATTTTGTTGCAAGACTGACCCAATAACTGACGTGACATATTCAAATACTAAAATAAGAAGCAAATTATCAAAATGACTAGTGTTTTTTACTGCTCATTAGTATATCCAACTTATTAAATATTTGTATTTACAATCTCTTTCATATTGAGTATTGTTGATCATATTATTAGAGTTTAATTCAAATACATAATCACCTACTCATTTATTGTTTATAGCATTATAATAGCAATGCAATATTAAGTTCAAATCATTAAATATTACCTGTCATACTATATTTCTTGGGCATGTTGATAAAATTAATTGTTCTTAGATATATCCAGGTTAAATAATGCATATGAACATGATTATAATAAAATATTGATGATCGAAAAAATGTCATACATATTATGATAGGTAGAAAATTATATTGATGACTTGCGTAGGAGAAGCAAAAGTTCCAACGAGATAGCTTTAACATAAAAATAGTAAAATTCCTGACCCCTGATAGTAATTAGTATCAGGGAATCATTGATAAAACATGACATTAGGATAACCAACTTTCATCAATGATTATTATAGTGAACGGGTTGGATGATGTGCCAGTGAAATAAGATATATCAATGCTATACAAATATAATATGATATTTTCAAGACAAAAAAAGTTAAAAATAAAATAAAAATAAAAGTAAAACAAATATAAATATGAAATTGCATAGTACATTGACATTACATGACTTTTTAGTAACAATTTTATAAATTTCTGACAATTATTACATACACTATTTATAAGCATGTTTATTTATTTTATTGTTGTTACTGTTGTGAGTCACTGATCAGCATGCACATAATTTTTTTCTTGTATCTTTAAATCATACTTTAACATTATTTATCTCCTTGAACGTGCAGCATACCAAACACTATAATGTTGTATTTTCAAAAAAGGAAAAAAAAAAGACGTGCAAAGAGTTGTTGGACCGTTAGCCAAATAACTTGCTATTTTGTATAGCTTTTAGTTGTACAAAATTGGATTTTTATAGATAACTTTAAGGATACATATGATTTACTATGTATAACATATTTAAAAGTTTTGTACTTTAGTTGAGATTGTTTATATATATACTTTTTTATTTATGTTTGATATTATAGAATTGAGAAAAAGCCAAAAATAGTTCCCCGGCTATTACCAGTGCCCATTTAAGACCCCGAGTTTTAAAATGCTCCAATTTAGTCCCTACATAAAATTTTTCATTTATTTTAATAGTTCATTTCACATTTTGAAGGGTAATGTTGTCTGTTTATAAAATTCACGAATTAAACATATGAAGGGCTTGTCGTTCTCACTGTAGGATTCACACACAAAACAGGCTCACCTTAAACCTAAATCTTCACTGTTCTACATGGGCGGCATCTCCCCTTATATTTCACCATCGACGGAGCAAGCAACTTAAGGTGCTTACTTATTCGATGCATCTCCACTCAACGAAGCAGTCTGTCTCCGTCTCCATCAGCGTTGCTTGTGTCGATGACAAGGCTTCGTCTTCATCCGAGCGCGGCTTCTCCCCTTCTATTTCACCACCCATAGAGCAAGCAACTCATGATGAGTATTCATTCGCTGCTTCTCCACTCGAAAGAGTAGTCTCTACTTCCGTGTCCTTCCGTGGTGCTTGCGTCGATGACAAGGCTTTCTGAAACCGGAGGAAAAAAGACCCAAACCACAAGAACAACTTTTACTAATATGCAAATAGGGTTATAGTTAGGTAAAGACAATTTTATATTCATATCTTAACAACATCCCTTATATTAAAACCAAAAAAATTTTTATTTGGTAATAATAAAGAACAAGAAGTTTTCTAAAAATTTTATTATTTCTTTTCTATTTTTTATGGAGTTTACATCCATTCAAAGTATAAATTGAGCTCTCTAATTCACTAAGATCATAACAAATGATTGTTATCTACTCCAATTAGGGCTGTCAAAGCTGCTCACTCTTCGTGAATAGCTCGTGCTTGGCTCGTTAAGTTGCTCATGTTTAATTTGTTTTTAAGCAAAAGAACTGAGCACGAACAAATTTTTTACGCTTGATATATAAATGAACCGAACACGAAGAAAAATTTTCATTCGTATGTATAACACAAAATTAAAACTACAAAACTTAAGTACAAAATGCAAATCTAAAATAATTGAGTGTCTGCTAAATAAAATGCACTTAAAAGAACTAATTTAACTAAATTATTTACTAAACTTCAAAAGTAAACTTATGAAAACTAAACAAAGTTTATGTGATGAAGTGTTTAAATTTAAGAAAGCATCCTTCCCCTTTACACTGAGTATATGGATTATGAAGAAATTAAAATCAATTATATATATATATATATATTATAATTGAAGTGTGGTATTTTTAAAAAAATTAATTGACTATAAGGCTTCAAAGATTTATAATCAATTCAAATTATTAATTAAAAAATCGAATAAAAATCTATTAAATTCTATTTAATGAATATTTTAATATAAATAATAAGATTTAAATCTCGCCCCAACTCTTAACATCCTATGACTGCATGACTAGGGCTATCGAAATGACTCATTGTTCGCGAACAGCTTGTGTTCAACTCGCTAAGCAAACAAGCCGAACACGAACAAATTTTTTGGGCTCGAAGTATAAACGAGCCGGATACGAACAATATTAGTTTTTAACCGGCCGAACACGAGTCAAGCCTGAGCTCGCTCAAGCTAGGCTTGTTTATACCCCTAACTCCAATCCGTCAATTGCAGCAAAAAAGTTTGTCTCTCAAAAATAGGAAGCCTAAAAACAGAACTAATGTCTCAGAAAACATGTAGATATGCAAACCAGCAAAGCTGTGCCAGGCGCCATTTCATTATGTTTTAACCTTATATTTAAGAAAATATAAACTATTAACAAAAATTCAAGCAGACAGTCTACTATAAGTGGATAAGAAAATGAAAAGATGAATTGTCGGAATGGGCAAATGAAATCAAATATCAACAGATAAAGAAAATAAATAAAATCAGCAGAAGGAAGGATCAAGATGGCAAGGATCCATAATTGATCACAAACTAGAATTATATCAGACGTCTACAAAATCATCACTCATCAGTTCCAAAAGTGCCTCATATAAAAATAATGGCAGGCAATCAATGAACAGAAAACGCAAACTACCAACACTTGAAATTAAAATCTTATAAAACTCAACAAAACACAGCAAATCTCCCACTTCTTTGATTTCAATCGACACTACAAGAATCGGATAATCCACTGGAAGTATAAAACGAAAAGCTCTCGTTTCCATTTGAGGAGGTGTTACCTGCGACGACTTCGCGCGCAAAAATGGTGATCTTGGGGGCGGAGTGGGGATCAGAGTGGTCGAGGGGTACGGTGAAGCGGTTGTCGCGGAGGCTAAGCTCTGGTACTGAATACCAATCGCCGGCGATGTGGTCCGCCTGGCTGCTTTGTTCTTCAGGGGCCGCACGGTGTTCAGTGAGCAACGCCGGCCGGGCAGCCATGTTTGTAATGGTCTCCGGCGTCTGCAATCAACTACTCATTCACTGTGTGTCGCACTTGTTTAAAACATACATAAATTGGGGATTTCTGTCAGCCCCTCGCGGCGGCTGTTCCAATGAAAAATTTGGCTTTTCACGCGGAGGATTAGGAGGAATTCAATAATTTCAATTTTTTTTCTATTAAAAAAAATTAATGAAAATTATTACATAAAAGTAAGAATGAAAAGTGCGTAGGAGAAGACGGCTTGAGTTTTCACGTGGAAAAATCTTAAAAGTGGAATAAATTATGAAGTGTAGATTAGTTGAAATAATTCATCATGAATGGTGAGTACACATATTTGTCCTTTTGTTTTTGATTTGGGATGATGGAGTTAAAATGTTGATCATTATAAATATAAAATAGTAGTTCATAGATAATAGTTGCAATATGGTTGTACTTCTTAGTGATAGCAGGTTGTAACGCCGTAGTCGATTGTTACGGAGGTATTAGTCTATTGTGAATGTCATAGATCGTGAGTGTAGCGTCAGCTTGTCGTATAGATTGTAGTCGAAAGTCATGAAAGTAATTGGTTGTGTAGATTGCAAATAGTTGCTTTATGAGCGTCTGATGGCCATAGAGGCCGTAGTAGAAAACCAGAGGAGCTGTGAGCCACGTAGACTGCAGTTGGTCACGTAGATCGTAATGGTGAGCTACAATGACGTTTGCCGGCCGCAATGGAAGGGGTCGGGAGTTGTGCAAGCTATGATACACAAAGCACGTGATTGGTCACATAGACCTTAGTGAAGAGTTGTGATGACGTCCATAGGCTATGTGAGTCAGAGTCAGTAGTTGTAGTCATCTAGGTCATAGTTGGTTATGTATGTCGTAATAGTGAGCGTGATGGTGTGCGTAGGCCACAAAGGAAAGAGTCGGAAGCTACACAAGTTGTGAACCACCCATGCCTTAATTTGTCAAATATGTCATAGTAGTGAGTTGTCAAGATGTCCGTAGACCAAAGAGCTCAGAGTCAAGAGCTGCACAATTTATTGACTATGTAGGCTCTAGGTGGTCACATAGAGCATAGTTGTGAGTTGTAAAGTCATCCATAAGCCACAGAGATCGAAGTCGAGAGCTGCAGAAGCTATCAGCCACATATGTCGTAGTTGGCCACATAGGATGTAGAGGTGAGCTGCAATGACGTTTGTAGGCTGTGGGGGTAGGAGTCGGAGGTTGAACAAAAGGATATTTAGGAGTCCGGAGAAAGTTACAGTCCTTAAGGCACCATCTTCGAGAGGCGCCATTGCACTATATGTGAGATGTGTTGTTACACTATTATCGGGGTGTATCGTTGCACCGTATTCGGGATACATTATTACACATTATAAGACATTGTCGCACTATATGTGGGGTGTGTTGTTACACCATCTTCGGGGTGTTTTGTTACACCATTTTTGTGGTGTGTCATTACAACATATTCAAGGTACACTATTACACCACCTTTGGGAGGAGCGCTATTTACATATGTCATACGCACGCAGTTTTACGTGCGTATGACCTCGAATAATCTTCCAATAACTCAATTATTGGGGGTTATTGAGAGGTTATTGGGGGTATTAATCACAAAAATATATTAATAACATCTCAATAACCTACCAATATATTTCGCGGTTCGACACTCATTTTTTTCCCGTCATTCGAGGGTTTTGTGAGGTTATTAGGCATATTAACCTCAATAGCAGCGATATAACCCTCCAATACTCCCCGAATAACCGTCATACGCACGCAATTATGCATGTGTATGACATACATAAATATTTTTCCTTTGAGACGCGTTGTTGCAGAGTTTGTGGAGTGCATTGTTACACTGTTATCAGGATGTGTTATTGCACTGTATTTGGAGTGTGTTATGTCACCATTTTGTGAGGCATCATCACACCGTATGTGAGGAGCATTGTTACACCACATTGGGGTGTGCCATTGCACCATATTCAGGGTGTGTCGTTGCATCTTATTCAGGGTGTGTCGTTGCACCATATTCAGGGTGTCTCATTGCATCTTATTCGAGGCGTGTTGGATGACGTATTGCACCACTAGACGCTTCAATGTTCCACAAAAGTATGATAGGATTCTATAATGCACATTGTTTCACTGCAAGGAGCACATAGTGATCAATGATGGTCGACGATGGTCAGCATGCGGTGATTAATGGTTATCGACGACTGCAAGAGCGGGAGAAATTCATCAGATCATTGGTGTAGAAACAATGCTGAGTTTAGGTTCCAAGCATCGACCTTCTTCCGGCTCTAGGTCTATAACAATTTTCAGAAGGAGGGTTAGAGCCCAGGTTGTATTTACGAAAGGAATCCTAACAATTGATTGGACGCCCTGAGGAGGTTCCCTCAATGAGATGTTTTTTTGTGGACACATTTGATCCTTAATGATGTCAGAATCAAGTGATTTTATGCTCATTAGATTCATCTTGTCGAGATACTCGATTTGACTATAAGCATATTAGATTAAGAATTCATTTTAAATTTCAATTATACACTAAAAATTTCTGAAAGTAATTTAACGGCTTGATGTGGGATTGATTCGACTCAGATTGGATCAATTTTGGTATCATCAGGTCTGCTTCATCAAGCCTTTTAGTTTGAATGTGAGTTTATTGAAATCAAAGTACTGAATAACTTTAAATTAAAATTTGAATATTTATTTTTAAAAGATTATCTCAAGATTCGTGCAAGACGAGGAAATTACTTGATGGCATGTCAAAAATAATTATAAGAAAATTATTATTTTCTTCCATGATAATTATTATTAATTTCACTCAGAGTCATTTGAGATTGGAATACTTGTTTATAATAAAAATTTTCGAAATTATTGTTATTAATATATTTTTATAACTTGCTTGTTTTGTATTAGAATAAAAATTTTACATTGCAAGTTTGACAAAAAAAGAATTGAAACACATAACACACTAAAATTCTTGGCTGTATGGGCTGAACCACCATTTACTTATACGATGAGCAAAATTATTACATAATTAAATTAATTTATATATATATATATTGCCATGGTTATTATTGTTTTATTTAAAAAAAATAGCTCTGAAACTGTAGATCTGTTTATTATTTGTTTATATATATATATATGTTTATATATATATATATATATATTTACTTAGGAAGATTACAAGCATACCACTCAATTCCTATATATTTACATAACTAACACCTAAACTTTAATTTAAAACTTTTATGAGTTAAAGTGGTTTGAATCATTTCGGTGGTATAAATGTAAAGATCAAACTTTTGGTGTTGCATATGTAAATACATAACTACTGGGTGGAATATATGAAAATATGCCTACGTCTACAAGTTGTCCCGCTTGGACGGAAAAAATTTGCATACGTAAGATGTACGCAACGCTGCGTACGTCAAGATTATATAGAGGGTGTTAGGGGTTATATTCATGTTACATCCACTGTAACCTTCATGTAACCTACTTGTACCTTCTAGTAAGTTTCACGCTTCTATTTTTATATATTTGTAGGTTACAAGTATGTTACAGGTAGGTTACGGGCATGTTACAGAGGGTATAACGCGGTTATAATTCCAATACCCTCTGTAAAACCCTGACGTACGCAGCGCTGCATACGTCTTACGTACACAAATTTTTCTCCCATCGAACAACTATAATTCTTAAAATAAAGTTTAGACCACATCTTGAAGGGAAATAATAACATTTATAATTCTTTTACAAGAATAAAAAATTGTTAAAATAAAAATACTAATTTGTAAATTGATTTATTTTATTGTGATTTATTAAGGTATAATAAATTGAAATTTATAGAGCTTTGATAAGTTAATAGCCCTGAGGGAGAAATGAAGGAAATGAACAAATGGTCTCCCATCCCTTAATAGAATTTAATATAATTTTGAGATTCAAGGGTAGTTGCCCATGGGACAAAATGTCGGTCCGCCCGTGCTTATGTTAGTTTAGATTATAAAAGTTTACTCATTTTTTGAATTGGAGAATATGATTACAAAATAGTGGACTCCATCGCAAATGATGACGATCGATTGATGGTAATTATTCGTGGTGGTTGTCATTGTTGAACGTAGATATTTAGAGTTATTCGTGGTGCTTCGCCAAAAACTCGTGTCTTCATCCCTTCATGTAGAGAGAGATTGTATATTTATAACATTTTGGGGGTGAAGGTTAGATAAATCTAGCTAAAATTTCATAAGACTCAATCATAGAGCTCATATTGAATCTTTTGATAGTAACCATTCAACTCAGTAATTAAGTTCCGAGGACTTTCAAATTGAGCAATTTTAGACTACTTTTTTATTAAGATGTAAACTTGATTTGACTATAATCATGCTAAAATTGAAAATTGTTTGGTTCTTCAATTAATGTCTAAAAAAATTGAGTCATTATTAGGTGCATGATTTAGACTCATTTTGAATCAAATTGGATGGTTTTTAGCATCATATGTGATGTCTAGTTCAACTATAAGTTTGATGAAATTAGAGAACTAATGGTTTTGAATCTAGTTCTAAAAGTTTTTAGCTAAAAAATCACAATAAGTTTCTTGTTTGGTTGAATGAATTTTATGATGTTGTATCAATAGCTCCTATTTTTATATATCAAAGCCTTGTCATCTTGATATATATAAATTTTACAGCAAAAGGAAATTAAATTTTTAAAAAGATATCTATAAGATGCAACCATTCACCAAACTTTAGTGTGGGTAGTGTGTGTATTCTAAAATATATATATATATATATATATATATATATATATATATTAGTGAGAGTTATTATTAAAACTCTTGACTAATTTTGTGAAATCAATAGATAGGAAATGATAAATATTTGTAGCAAGAATTTAGAGGAAACATATAAAATACATAGAATCCTTTGGAAAAAAATTTTTTTTTTTCTAAAAAAAATTTAAAAAAATAAAAAATTTACTCAAAGTGAAAAAATCATCATACTGAATAATTGTTTCAGTATTTTTGTGGTAAGTTTATTTAACATCAGTTTCTCATCCTGATGCTTTGAATATTTTACTGCATAAACCAACATCTCTTGCTCAAGCTACACCTAAATCACTATAATAAAACATGAGGCAAACATTTTTTTAACTTAGGATCCCAATCTATC